TCTGTCTTGGGGGTCGACAAGTCATCGTTTGGGAACATACGCGATCATCAATCGCACAATCAAGACACATTTGCACTCCACTTCGCCGCCCTACGCGCAATATGCAAGAACGCCCGCACGCATGAACGATATTGGACGGACGGCGCGCTTGCCCGCGCGGGCAACGCGTGGGCACGAACGACTGGCCCTCCATGACCGCCAACATTTGATGTCAATCGTACCCGATCACATACATGAGCGATACATTGAGCATGCACGGGCCATTCAGCCCCCATTGAAGACCCCCTGTTGCAGACCCCCTCTTTCACCCTCCAAATGTGGCGCGGGACAATGCGAAGCAACGCGAAGCAAGGCAAATTATCGCAAAAATATGCAACGCAGTGCAAAGCAATGCAAAGGAATTCAATGCACAGCAATGCAAACCAATGCAACGCATCGCAACGCAACGCAACGCAATGCAAAGCAATGCAACGCAATGCCAAGCAACGCCAAGCAATACAAAGCGATGCAACGCAACGCGATTGCAATACAATGCGACTGCAATGCCGTGCGATGGCAGTGCAAAGCAAGTCTGCGTCGACGGCGGCAGCGGGCGGCGACGAGTCGTCTGGACCGCCACTGGGGCTCAATTTTTCCGACGGCGGCGGCGAGGGGCGGCGATGGGCGGCCGCGGGCCGGCCGGACCACCACTCAAGCCGAATTACACTCGAGACCCACGCCACGAAACACCCTGCTTGCCTCCAGGGTGCCCTGGGTTTCTGGGGTTTCGGTGGTCTTGCTGTAGGCAGCGTGACGCTCCCATACCAACAAATCAAGGGACGCTCTGGGATCTCGGGGGCGGGTCTCTTATGGACGGTCTCTTGTGGCCGAGCCCTTACTGTGCCAGCGGCGACGGCGGCGGCGACTTGCGCCGACGGGCGGCAACGAGCCAGCGCAACCGCCGCCCAGGCCCAGCTACTTCAGGAGCCAAGTTGGAACCTTCGAGGACAACAGCCGTTCAGGGACAACATATCTGGCCCCGGGACCATCAGAGATGGATCGGGCCCGGAAAGTGCCTCAGAAAGATGGGGCCCAGGTCTCTGGTGGTGATATTTCGCGACGTTGCATTTTTCCGCAACGTCGGATCTCAGGGTTGTCGCGAGTGGCCACCACATGTCCCCCCCCCCTCCCCAGAGGAGGAAACGATACCGATACCGCCGCTCGTCCTGGAGAGCCCTCCTCGCCACGGCAGGATTCTCCTCGAGATGCTGGTCAGAATGCGCCCCAGGCGATGGCCGGGGAGTAGCGGTATCGCTGCCTTTCCTTTTCCCCACTTCCCCCCGCCTCCGTGTCGCTTGCTGGTCGCTGCCCAGGCGCTCCTCCGCTTCACGCTGCGGCGCAGTCTTATTCCGGAGGCGTGCAATGCGGGCGGACGGGGTGGTGATAGCCGCCTGTTGGCGACAACCGAAACGAAACCGGCTGCGGGAGCTGTGCTCGTACATCACCCGCGGGGGCGCGGGGATGCGGCATATTCGCGCCGCGTCCGCGCGGCGGCGACCCCGACGCCCTCGCTCAGGGTTGGACGCCGATCTGGCGATCGGGCAGCCGCCCGTCGGTCAGGGTGGAACGATCCACGTGGTGTCAGTCAAGCAGTGGCGAAGCGTCCTGGCTTGCCCATAGTCCCGCCCCCCAAAGTCTGAGAACTTCTTGTGGTTTGCACGGGATGTTCATATAACTTTCCGGACCGAGGCTGTCTTGTTTCAGCACATCGGCTTTAGGTTCTGAGGGCATTGTTCTGGTTTGTTGGGCATTCGTTCGGTCTGAGAACATGTCGTGGTAGGCCTGTGGGAATGCGGGGACGGTCGGTCCCTGCTCAAGCCAGAAGCCAACGCCAGGGTCGACACGACACGAACCTGCCGCAGTCGGGCGTCCCGCGTCGCGGTCTGGGCCAGAGCGGCCGTGCTCCTCCCAGGTGGTGGCGCGAGGGCGCGAAGCCGCGCAGGTGGTCGCGCATCGCGGGGCGCGATGCGGCGATGTGTCGTCTTGCGCGCACAGGGCACTGGGTGCGAGGCCTGTAGGATGTTGGCTGGGATCCCTTGGCAGGCTTCTCGCAGGCTTTCTCGCTGGGAGCGCTGCGGGGATGGCGCGCGCTTCCAACCGCTTCCACGTGGTCTGTTCGATTGCCGTGCGCAGCCACTTCGTGCGTGCGCAGCCATGTCCAGCTCGCAGCATCTGCTGGTGGACTCATGGCCTGAAAGTGGCATGTGTGGCAAATGTATTCCTGCATCTGCGCGCTTCCGCGCAAGCGCCTTGGAAGCCCTTCTGCGCCGCAGCGGGAACCGTGCGGTCGAGCCGGAGCGTGCCACGGACGGAGCCGTTTCGCCGCCGCGCAGCGGACAAACTAGAAGGGTGGCCGCGGATGGAGGCACCGGGGGGGGAGGACACGCTGAGGACATGCAGTGCTTCACGTGCGGTGCCAGCGGCCTCGGGCTCCACCCGGCAGTCGTGCAGAGTGGGGGCGAGCCCCGTGCTGACCAAGGGAGGCGTAGCCGGGAGGGGGGGCCTCCGAAGTGTAACGAGGTCGGTGCCCGCGTCTCGAGAGCACCAAGGCGTGCGATTTGTTCGCAGGGTTCGGCCCCGGGGGAGTGTTTTTGGTCTGTGGGTATTCACAACCCACCAAGCCACCCCCACCCAACCCGAAGGCTTCAATTTGCCCTCCATTTCCAGTGTGGGCGTTGGGATCGGAACATCGAGAAAACACACATAGAATTCGTATCCCCCCCAACTCGAAATTCGGGTCTTCGGGTTGGGTTGGGGTGTTCTGGTAGGTAGTCATCTGTGGGCTCCAGGTGGTAAGGGGTATGCCAAACAACGATTCAGGGTGAGAAGCCAGCCTGGGGGAAGGGTCGGGACTTCCGGGGGGGCCGCATTGAGTTCTAGCCACCGCAACTGCGATTGCGGACAGGAGTGAGAGGGCCCAGGGGGGTTGTCGGCACTACCAGACTTCAGAAGGCCCATCGCAGGCGCCGTTTCGTGCAATCAATCAACGCGTTGGATCGCGGGTGGGTCGCGGGTGGGGCGCCGGGTGGGGCGCGGAAAGGACGACGACGGCAAGCCAACAAGAGCTCTCGCACCGGAATTCCACGTCGGGCGCGCACCTGGGGACGGTGTGAGGCCGCTCGGCCCTCTCTCAGATCCAGGCGTCGGATGTCTGGACCCTCTGGCGGTCACGCTGGCATCGACACCCGTTTCGTGTGGGCATCACCAAAGCTTGTGGAGGACAATCAATGGAGAGGAAGCAGGAGGAAGCAGGTTGCCAAATAATTTCCAGATGTCTAGAACATGCTTTAAAACTGTGTGAAACACGTTTTGTTTGTATAAAAAGCATGTTGCAAACAGTTCCAGGACATCTTTCCCACATTTGAAAAACATGTTTAATTCGATGATCGGACTGTTAGGGTGTCCATTGTCGTGGCATCCGCAAGCCTAAGCATACTTAACTATGCGTGCGTCGCCCCCCCCCCCCCGGCCCCCGGAGGCAGAGGCCGCGCGCGCGCTGAGGAATCTTATCGTACATGCTCGATGGCGGACAGAACTCTTCCACCTTTGGGTGGCCTTTTTCTTCTCTCCCCCCCTCCCCCCCGCGGCCGCCCGCTCTGCCCTCTTGCCACCAGGGCTGGACCTAAACGGTGTTTTTGGTGATTCCGTGGGCCGTTTTCCTTTCGACTTCGTTTTGCAGCAAAGGCAGATTGGAGACAAAAGCGAGTGAAAACGAGAACAAAACGAAGACGACAAACACCGTTTAGGTTCAGCCCTGCTTCCCACCCTTGCATGCTGGCCAATCCGCTTTTCGGTGCCCCTGTCTAGCTCCATCGCGGGTGCAGCCAGCTCTGCCCCGCCGCCGGCGGACAAAATGCTCGATGGCGGGCGCCTCTTGGCCTTGCCGCCGGGGTCAATCAGGAGGAAAAGAAACACACAGACACAATTAAATCTCGATTCCCCAGAAAATATGGGAAAATATGGGAAGGGGTGGGGAAGACAGAAACCCAGAACATATGGGAAAATATGGGGGATCTTTTTATTTGTGTGTATTTATTTGTGTGTCCTAATTCCCCTTCAGTCAAGGTATACTGTCGGCTGGCTCTTTGGGTTCGGACTTGCGCCTCCCGGGGCTCTCTCGTCCTTGCTCGTCGTGCTCAGCAGCGGAATGAGAAGATCCGCATTTTTTTGATGGGCGCGTTTTCCACCACCACCACCATAAGTTGGAGGGGGGTGGTCCTCCTCCTCCTCATCCTCCTCCTCCTCCTCCTCCTCCTCCTCCTACTCCTCCTCCTCCTCCTCCGCCTCCTCCTCCTCCGCCTCCTCCGCCTCCTTCCCCTCCAACTTATGGTGGTGGTGGTGGAAAACAGGCTCATCATTTTTGAACCAAAAAAAACATGAATTACCGGAGCTCCCCGCGTGGATTTCTTCGATCGGCGCTGGGACTCCCCTGGCGGCGCCTCCGGCGCCGCTCCTGGCGCGCTCCGAGCGCCAGGGGGAGGGGTCTGGCGCCGATCCAAGAAAGCCGCGCGGAGCTCCGAAAGCTCCCATTCGGTGAGCTGCGCCCTGGAGCCGTCGGCAGTTGTCGCCACCCAGAGACCACAGAGCCCTGCCTTCGGAGCGCAGTGGAAAGAGGGAGCTGGCGCTGATTGTGGTTCCGAGTTGTGGTATGGTTCTGGTTCGGGTTATGTTGTAGTTTTTGGTGTTGGTTATGGTTGTCGGCACGAGGAGGAGGAGGAGGAGGAGGAGGAGGAGGAGGAGGAGGAGGAGGAGGAGGAGGAGGAGGTGGATGAGGAAGAGGAGCACGAGGAGGAGGAGGAGGAGGAGGCGGAGGAACGTGGAGGAGGAGATGGATAAGGCGGAAACTGAGGAGAAAAGCTTGGAGTAGCCAGACGGCGAGGAATCCAAGGGGACGGAGGTGGCGGCTCACTTCGTGATTCGCGCGCCGGCTGGCGCGCGTCCCCCCTGCGGCCGGAGTGGAGGACGGCGACGGCACTAACAGGGTCGCTGTCAAGAGGATGCCGAACAAGTGGGCGGGGGGGCCTCGGATCCGTGCGTCGCGAAGGACAGAGTCGCGACGGCATTTCGTTCGTGTAACTTTCAATCCTTGTGGGCCGTTTCCAGACCCCGGGGCCGTCGGAAAACGACGGAGGATGGAAAGCTGGCCCTGGAGAAGTGGTCGAAGCCCTCGGGACTGAAGTCACACGCAAAGTGCAACGTCACAGGAAAGGGGGGCGACACTGCCGGCGCTACAGTTCGGTCTGGCGGGCTGTTGTTTGAGTTTCCTAGATCTTTCTCGCGGAATCCCGGGAGATCGAGTCCTTCGGCGTGAAAAGGGGGCTTAACAGCCGTCTTCATGACGATCATATCCAGTGCTTACTTGCCCCCGTGCCAGTCCTTAGGTTTCTGCTCTTCGCCACGTTCGGGGGTCTGCTTTCTCTTGGGGAGAGTTCGCTTGGTTCGTAAGTTGACCCATCTGTTATTGTAGAATTGTAGCATTTCAGTTTTCTCTTTCCACCTGCCGTGTGATGTGGGAACTGAGCTAGCTGCAAAATGCGACGTCCCCGGCCTGGCGACATGAGATGACAAGACAAACGCCTTTGATGCGAGCTTCCTCCGGTTCTATGCCTGCAAAAGCCGCCCCCTGGGAATTTCGGCATCGGGAGAGCAGGAGCAGATGGAGCAAAAGTAGGAGCGGGAGCGAGAGGAGGAGGACGAACGAGGAGGAGGAGGAGGAGGAGGAGGAGGAGGAGGAGGAGGGGAAGGAGGCAGAGAAGGAGGCAGAGAAAGAGGAAGAGGAGGAGGAGCAGGAGGAGGAGGAGCAGGAGGTGGAGGAGGAGGAGCCGGAGCAGGAGCAGGAGGGGGATGAGCCGGATGAAGAGGAGCAGGAGGACGACGATGCAGGGGCAGCGAGGAGTGCCCGCAGCTCGGCGCCACGCTGCGGTCGGGAGCTCTGCTCGGCCCGCCACGCCCCGGCGCGACACGCCGCCCACGTCCCGCCCCCCGTGCAGCAGCGCCCCGAGCTCTTCCAGGCCTCCCGCCCCGCGGAGGGGAGCCCGCGGACCTCCGGCCGCTCCAGGGGGATCGTTCTCTTGCCCGTTTTTGTTGCCGACGCCGCTCCCTCCCTCCTCTTCGCTGCCTCATTCAGGCTTCGCGCGGCCCGCTCGGCTTCGACCGGAAGAGGTGCGCTCTCGACCCGCGGATCAAAGCACTGTTTTCCTTGCCGATCGGCGCGGGCCCTCGCACCTCCCCCCCCCCGCCCCCTGGAGCTCGGTATCGCTCGGACGTGTGCATTTCTTCTCGGCGGGTATTATCCAGGAGCATCCTGGATCATCCGGCGAAGAAGCCACGCACGAAACCCTCCCAAAAAAAACAGGGAATGGACGTCCGAGGGACGGGGAGAGAGTAGATGGACGCGACGCACTGCTGCAAGCAGTCGCACTAAGCGGAGGTCCAGAGACAGACCCCCCCCCTCCCCCCCCCTTGGGCTCAATGTCGAAACGCCGAATAAGATAACGTTTACATGCATAGGTCCCGGAGGGCCAGGCCACTTCCCCAGGGCCGTTTTTTCGTCCCGAGTCGGTTTTGATGAAGGAGGACCAGGAGCAGGAGAACGAACGAACGACTCTGCAGAGGCGTGCCAGCTGATCTTGCACCGACTCGGGGCATTTGAAACCTAAGGGAAACAATTTCAGGGCTGGCTCGCTTCTAGAGGGCGCTGTGATGTGTGTCATACTCATCACGCGTGGCACTCGGTGCACTTGTGCTCACGCCCACCCCCTAGCCAGGCTGATAGCCCCCGTGCTTTGAAGGCAGGGCATGGCCGTAGGGTCAGGGGTACGAATGGGGGTCAAAAAGCAGCAACAACCCCCCAGCGAATCGGGGCCCCGAAGAGGCCGCGGGGGAGCGGGGAAGAGCAGCGGAAGGACCAGGGCCCGAGGAAGGAGGCAGAGAACGAGGCGAGGCCACGGGGTCCCAAGGCGCCGAGGGAGGGGACAGCTCCAAATCAGGCGAGAGCTCCCCGAGCTCGAAGCATCGATCTAAAGTCGAAAGAAGCCGAAGGCCGTCTACCGCCCACGCAGGGCCAGCTCAAAAAGTTTGAAACCGAGATTCATCTAGGAGACTTCCTGGTTCCGAGAAGTCCCAGGATGCTACTGAGCGGAAGAGGAGGTGACGAGGAGAAAGGAGCCGTGCAGGTGGGCTGTGCAGCGGCGGCAGCGTTTCTAGGCCTAGACGAAGTTGGCGAGGCAGGAGTAGCTGCGCAGCTGTTTCTGGAGCCCGTCTGCTGAGAGAGCGATAACCTCTGAGTCCCCTTCGCTCCCGAAGCCGCCGCCGTCGATACCGCCAAGGGGGGAGGAGCGGCCGCCTGTGATCCAGGCAAGGACAAAGGTGTAGATGGCGGAGCGCTCTGCGACGTTCTGGTAGCACTCATCGGGTGAGGCTCCGTTCTCTGTGAAGGGTGCGTAGCAATCTGCAACCTGCTTTCTTTCCATATCAAGTGAGGTCAAAGACTCATCATGCAAAGGTCGCGTCGCTACTGTTGATAGTCTGGCTACTGAGTCGCGTCGTTCTGCAACTGTAGAAGCCTCGAGTTGTGACTGCGCGGCGGGGTCCCATGCTTGTGAGCCCCCCTCGACCTGCTCCAGAGCCTGCGTTGCTATGTCCTCCATGCTCGTCGCGGTGGCGTCGATCCAGATCTCGACTTTGTCCTGCGAATGATTTGTCTGGAGCCTTCAGTGCCGAACGAGATCTGCCAAGGCGACGTTGGACAACTTCTCGTGTTTCAGCTTCTCCTGGTACTCTTTGAGCGCTTTGGCGTTCGCCTGGCCGACCCTGTCGCCTTGAGCCACCAGCGCTCCGATGAGCGTCACCCACGTGCAGGTGTGGAATCCCGAGCTCGTCCAATTCTGGAACTGGGCCGCCGTTCTGGAGTGCCTCCCGGTGGTGTTCGCGCAACCGCCTGGCCTCCTGCCCGCAGTGCCTCGCTGCGTGCACCATCGACTGCGGCACGCCGTGGGCCGTCGGGAGCTGGACGTGGCAGACGAAGGCCGACTCCACGAGGCCCAGTCGAGGTTCGTGGCCGAGCGCCATCCCCACCAACATGGGCGTCGTCGCCTGGACCCACTGGATGGGCATCTGCTGCATGCGGGCGACGTCGCCTTCGCGCAGGCCGCAGCGGCTGTTGTCGGTGGCCGCCCGCGCGTCGCCGAGAGCGCGGGGTGGCTGCGCCCTCTGTGCCCGGTGTGTGCCCAGCGGGGGCTGCTGCTGCCGCTGCCGCCTCGGACCTCCGCGGCGGCCTCGATCTCCGCTGCGGAGGTCCGATCTCCGCGCCCACTGGCGAGATCTCGTCGCCGCTGCTCCGTCCCAGTCGCGGGTGCCCTGTCCGCCAGGTTCGACGTCAATCACTAGATCTGGTGGCAGCGGGGCGTGTGCTTCTCGAGCGTGTGCCCGAAGAGCTTGGAGACCAGCAGTTTCACTTTGAGCCAGCACGGCTCCAGGCAGGGACTCTCGGAAGGACTCGCGAGCTGCCTCGGGGTCCACGCAGATCGGGCGATGCAGGTCTTCTGGCACTGCCAAGGGAGGTGAATACGCATTGAAATATGTCAAGCATCGGCGTCGCCTCAAATATTACACCACATGCCTCTTGGCACGCGCCACCTGATAACAACTTTAATTAGTCACCGCGAGCTGAAGCATGGGGACCCTGATCTTGCGGGGCGGGCGGTGGCACTGGTGCGCTTTCAGGGCCGCCCTCGAGTAGAATACTTGGCCACGTGGGTTCCCATCTTCGCTTGGAAGCTCGCAAAGGAACTCTTGAGGCGGACCTTCTGGGACTGGAGGTACTTCAGGGGCGTCCGACGCTTGAATTTCAGAGGGTAGCATAATGGGTCCATTGCGAGCCTGTTCCCGATAAGCCTTGCGGAAGCCCTTGATGTTTATGCTCTTAAAGGTCGCTGCAACCCTAAGGTTAGTGAACATATCTTTGATGCTGTAGTCTTTGTCCAGCAAGAACTTCTCATGGGGAAGCACCTCGAGGGGCTCCGCGTCTCGCTGGAGCTGAAGGGCCCGCGGGTTAGCTCCTGGTCGAATCCTGCCTGCGGGGGTAAACGTCGGAGATTCGCCGAGCGAAGTGAATTGCCCAGAGAGGAAAGCAGGACGCTGCCAATAACCAAGACGCCGAATCAGCAACTCGGTCCTGGCGCCTGCGATCTTCAACCATTTGTGCACCGCCCGAGCGGAGGGGGCCCGAACTCGATCCCCCTCCTGGTCGAACGTGTCGAGCGACCCCTCGCAGAGCTACTTCCGCGAAACCTGAGATGACCAAGTCGAGCTTCGCAAAGTCTCGCTTCCCCAAGAGATGCACCTCAAGGCCCGAATCGGCCGCGCTGTGAATGACCCCCAGGAAGGTCATGCGCGTAAGTTTCAGGGGCGATCGCTGGTTCCAGAATCTACCCAGTTTGGACAAAGCCGATCGCGTAGCGTCTATTCGAAGCCGAACCTCTGCTCCAGCTCCTCCTCTCAGATGCTCGAGGCTCCCAAGATGCACCGTCTCGGCTTTCACTAGCCCAGGAAATTGCGCGAGTCCAGAAAGGACGGGCGCGGGCGGCCGTGCATCCCCCAGGGCCCGCAAAAACAGAAAGGATGATCCTTTTATCCACATTCTGGCTCAAGCCTCCTGGCTCCTCCAGCTGGTCGGACAAGATGCGAGACGACACTTTTGCTCTCTGAGCCGCTCGGAGTGGGTTGCCGTCCGGAAGCGGCAGCGTCTGCGAGACGTCGTCTGCGTAGTCTCGCATGGGAATGTCTATTTGTTCATCATGGGTGGGGGAGTGGATCAGCGTCGCCGCCCCAATGAGTGGAACAGAGCCTCCGCCTCCAGTGCCCAGAACTGCCCAGAGCCCGCCCCCGGGATGTGGTTCCAGGCTTCCAGCGGCTTCGCGAACGAGCGCGCGAACATCTCGCAAGCGTTGCCGTCGCCCATGCCTGCGCCGTGCGCAGGCTGAAAGAATCCTCGCTCCTCGCGCGCCT